AATTTCAGTGTCGTAAGGGAACTGAAACATGATTTAAATCTTGAAGCATCGTATAAGCAGGAACTTAACAACTAACATTCCTATTAGTTGCAAGAACTTCTTAAAAGCATGGCTAATTAGTAATGACTTAAGTTATGCAGGAAAGGATAAAAGGAGTTGAATTTAGGTCTTGTTAAATTAATCTTCTTTTTCAGTCTATGAGTTGAGTTACAGCTTAGGTTCAGTGTTACTGCATTTTGTATTGTCAACAGCTCGTGTTTCAGTGGACCACATTGTAAAAGAAAAGAGAAGAAAGCCAGCTTGGACTATTTTTGTTAAATTTTAGTCTGGATGGGATCAGTGTGATGGTTGGGGTGAAAGACAAAAGCAAACTCCCCCATTTTGTTTTGTTCAGCTGAACTTGTTTGTTCTCTGGCATGCTGCCCATCTGCCCTGAGCCTTCAGGCAGCACAGCTCTGCACACCCAGCAGTCTGTCTGGGGTAATGGAAGGCTGTGCAAGAACAAACGTTTGCATTTTGCCCTATCAAGCCTTGTACACTGGCCATGAAGCTCACAGCTCTTGGTTTCCTTCCTCGTCTCCTTCCCAGAGGAGTCATGATGTTGTCCTGTCTATGGGTAGAAATGCCACCGAGCAGGGTCCTGCTTGGCAGCCTTACTGCCCAGGTGCAGACCAGGACTCGGGTCCCACTTAAGATGCAGAGATGTTGGGGTGTCCCCGCCACACAGCCTCTCATACAGAGTGCTTTCTGGTGTCAAGACTTGATGCACAAAAGTCGGAGAGGTTGGGGGGTTGCTTGCAGCACACATTTGGCCCAGTAAATGCATCTATGGCCGCTTTACTTAGGTTAGGACTGTCCTCTGCATCGATACAACCAACCTTCATGTTTGCATTAGGCCTTTAGGACATGAAGATGATTTCTGTCTAATTCTTTTCCTGTTGTCTGACTTATACTCACTGTCAGTAGCTGGTATTTTTTTGTACTTATTTATGCGATTGCTAGTGGGTCAGATTCCACATTCTGACTTGCTTGCAGAAATAAAAGTTGAAGAACCTTGAACAAGGAGTTGGAAGCATAGCATCTAAACTATCTATTGATATTTTAAAGAGCTACTGGGTCTTCACCTAAAAAAAAAAAAAAAAAAAAAATCAAGCTTACACATGAGTTTTTAATTATAGTAAAGGTTCTTGATAATCAGAGAGGACTATCTCATTTCCTTATAAAAAAGTAAATGCCCAGCGTGGATCTTGAAGTGTACTGGGAAAAAAATTTCATCCAAGAGAGGGATGAGAGGAAGGGAAAGAGAGATGTATAGCTGTTTTATTCTACTTTAAGTAATACTGGTAAGGGTTGTTTTCCTAATTTTTCCTTTAAAAAAAAAAGGCCATTTGTGATTTTCAGAGAAGGAAGAAGTGGGAGCAGTGGAATTAAGACAAGGGGCTTAATTTCAACAAACTTAAGGGAAGTGGTGTTAATATCATTGAATCATGGAGTACCAGGTTGGAAGGGACCTCAGGGATCATCTAGTCCAACCTTTCTGGCAAAAACTCGATATAGACAAGATGGTCCAGCACCCTGTCCAGCTGAATCTTAAAAATGTCCAGTATTGGGGAATCCACCTTTTCCCTGGTGAGATTACTCTAGTGTGAAAAATTTACTTCTTGTGTCCAGTTGGAATCTCCCCAGGAGTAATTTGTACCCATGACACCATGTCTTTTCCATGTGACTCCTTGTTAAAAGGAAGTCTTCCTCCTCTTTGTAGACACCCTTTAAATACTGGAACATGGTGATAAGGTCTCCCCCAAGCCTTCTCTTCTCAAGGCTGAGCAAACCCAGTTCTCTCAGCCTTTCCTCACCTGGCAGGCTGCCCAGCCCTTTGATCATCTTTGTGGCCCTTCTCTGGACCCTCTCCAGCCTGTCCACACCTTTTTTGTATAGCGGGGACCAAAACTGAACACAGTACTCCAGGTGTGGCCTGACAAGCACTGAGTAGAGTGGGATAATGACTTCTGGTGATGGCCTTGTTGACACAACTCAGCATCCTGTTGGCTTGCTTTGCCACTGCAGCACACTTTTCACTCATATTGAGCTGGTTGTCCATCAGGACCCCCAGGTCCCTTTCCACAGAGCTGCTCCCCAGCCAGGTAGATCCCAGTCAGTGATGCAGTCCTGGATTATGTGTTCCCAGGTGCAAGACCTTACACTTGTCCTGTTGAACTTTATAAGGTTCTTGTTAGCCCACTCTTCCAGCCTATCCAGATCTTCCTGCAACATGGCTCTCCTTTCCAAAGAGCCCACTTCCCCACTCAGTTTGATACCATCAGCAAACTTCATCAGGGTACATTTGTTCTTATCACCCAGTTCACTTATGAAGATATTAAACAGCGTTGGACACGATAACCTTGGGGGACTCCCAATTGTGACAGGCTGTCAGTTTTGAAAAGAGCTATTTACCACCACTCTCTGGATGTGGCCTGTCAGCCAGTTCCCCACCCACCATACAGACCACTTGTCTAGTCCATAATGTATCAGTTTCTCTAGGAGGAGGCTGTGGGGAACTGTATGAAAAGCCTTGGAGAAATCCAGGTAGACAATGTCCACCTCTTGCCCCACAGCAACCAAGCAAGTTAGTCATAGAAGATGATCAGGTTTGTCAAGCACGATTTGCCCTTGGTGAATCCCTGCTGGCTTTTCCCAGTCACGTGCTTCGTTTGACTTGTGATAGCCCCCAGGAGGATTTGTTCCATAACTTTCCCAAGGATTGAAGATATCCTCTGGGAATGATAAGGATTTTGAGAAAGGAAGAATGGTTTCCAAACAAAGCAGTTTAAATTTTTGCCTTTGATACTGCGAGACTGGAAAAAGAATCCCAGAAAAACTGTGGTAACCATAGCTATGGTAAAAGCTGTAAGAAGGGATTAGATGAGCTTTGGATATCTCTCCATTTCTGTGATTTGAACGTCAGGCTACATCTTTTTCACATCATCTTGACAACGGCTATTAATAGTCTACCTGTAGTTTAGATACAGATTATTTATTTGTTTCTTTACATTTCAATTATTATTTGTAACTAAAACAAAACAGGTGTATTTGCAAGATAATGACACTGTCATTGACAACATAGCAAAAAAGTACCAAAGCGTTGTCACAGACGTAACTGGTGGTTAGTTTTCCGGTGCCTTTTGTCTATTATCAGGTTTTTGTGTATATAAACACATCTGCTGATCTGAATGCATTAGGAAGAAGGATAGGAAAAGAAGCTGAATTATGCAGACTTGTTAAGAACGAAAGAGGGACGATGAGGTCTTCCAGCAGCATTTTCTAATTGAAGTTATCGGACTGACATTTTGGCAATGATTTCTGCTTCAGAGATCAAGAGGGATTATTTATTCTTAGCAGTTTTCTGTCTGCAGCTCTCAAAAGTTCAAGCAGGCCAGGTGACTTCCATCATTTGTGAACATCTTTGAACAAGCAGTGACATTGCACTGAGACCAGAGGGTTTATTTCTAGCCCATGGAGCCAGGCACTTCCAGGCAGACTATTTGGTCTCCTCCCTAACTGTAAGGGGAGATGACCGCTTCTCCAGTTTTGTTTAACAAAACGGTTCATTGGAAAAGACACCAGTCTTTCCAAAAAAACCCAACCCAAACCCCAAAAACCAAACACACCCGACCCCCACCCCCCATTATAAGACGTGTGTGAGTTTACTGCACTGGGCTCATATGCTCTTTGGCAGCCTTTCACCTGTTTGTGAGAATGGTGGAACACAGCTAGCCCACAAGTCTTTCTCCCAGTGCTGACCTCAAGGAGATACCTAAGGAAGCATGCAAAAAGCAGGCAAGCGTGGAGTAATGCTTTGCTAGAATACCCACCCCTGCCACTTGCTATCAGTTTTCATGTGAAATATGTATCTTTGCTGGGTGTAAGAAGTGAGCCAGGGAAGCTTCTTGTCATTTTAAACTGTGTTTCTGTGGGCTTTAGAAACCAGACTCCTCTTTCTCCCACAGTGTGGTTGTTGCCATTTAGAGGTGATAACTGAGCACATCATTTACTTTTACGGCTTGCTCTGTTTTACCAGCAGCCTAGTCTCTAGGCAGATCCTTTGCGTCTACCACAGGGATTTTAGGGGGAGAGTAAAAGTCCATTTCCTCCTTGTTAAAGTGGCAGCTGCTCCCTCTGCCTGTGTGCCCTTGGGAAGTTTCTGCAACTTGCTTTTCTACAGATGTACAGAGCTGCTGTTTTGCCTTTGGAAAGGAAAACATCATGAGCCCCAGGCCCCTCCACCCATGTATGCCTCGAGGGTTGAATTTATGACCCAGGAATAGTAGAGATCTGATTGTTTTGGCAGTGCAGGCCTGTTAAGTCTTTTCATCTACTCATGAGTACTGCTAACATTGTAGTGTGTCTGGAGTTTAGAGGGGATACACAGACTTCAGAAAGGAAGTAGTGGCCGTTATGGCAACAAATAAACCTTGAAAAGCAGCAAGAAATGGGAGCTAGTAGGAGTGTTGGTGGAAAGAGAACAAGAGAAGGATCACAGGATGAGAATGGAAACCTAGGTGAATATGCCTACTAAGTTCCCAGAGCCAGAGGAAAATCAACTTGCTCATGTCCACCTAGGTGCTGTGACTGAAATGGGATACCTGAGCTGTGGGGAAGGTACTAGTGACAGAGAAGCAGAGCAGGTCCTTTTCCCAATTTTATTGATTTGCTGTATGATTTCCGGTAAGATATGAAGGTCTCCGTCCCATTTTCCTTTGTTTAATTGTGCATCTCTCGCTGCTTTGCATTTTCAGAGATCAGTTAGTGGCAACCAAACTGGAAAGACATGGTTTGAACTTGGTTTATAGCAGGAAGTGTGTGAAAACCTCAGGAGGAAATGGCTGGGTTTGCCCAGGTGTATTCAGGCAGTCGAATGCTGCAGAGAACAGTGCTATTACATTTCTGTATTCCTCGGTGTGCTTTGATGCTCCATTTATGATGTGTTTCTGCTCATACAGGAGCAGTCTACCGTATCGTGGTACAGAGACTCGCTGTTGCTGTCAGCACTAGAAAAGACTGAAGCTGGCATCCCCCATTGTCCTCAGCTAGAGCTTGCCCTGCAAGACGCAGCTGTAAACTGTTCATCAGAAAAAAACTGAACAGTGGATCCTTAAGAGTGAGTAAAAAGCAAATCTGACTTTTAAAAAATTGTTGTCTAAAATGTATAAAAATAACACCATGCAGGAATGCATTAAAGTTCCAGGGTAAATAGGGATTAAGAAAAGCTCAGAGGTTTACCTGTGGTGCTGAGTTATGGTATTTATGTCTCACTGCTGTGTCCTTTGGAGTATGTAGTTCCTTGTCTCCTCTGCTGTCCACGTACACCCCTGTTGAACTGCATTTCTAAGAACCGGTGGGTCGAGACTAGTGGAGAAAAGTGTGAAGCGACCTATTGAAATGGGATTTCCCTAAGCAAGACACTGGTTCCTAAGAAGGAGAACTGCTTTGTCAAGGAAAAAGATCACCTGGGAGGGATTAGGTCCTGGGGCTGATAAGAAGTTTGCATGGGAAAATGTGGGCACAGGTGTATCAGGAGAGGAGATACCCTGTTTTGTGGGCTGTGTTCACCCACTCAAGCAGGGGAACTGCACAGAAATGAAGAGGACAGCATCCTGCTCTCCCCTCTCCAGGACACAGTTGGACAACAAGAGTTTCAAATAGCAGAGACAGAGAACATCTTCAGGATGCTTGCTGTTTTCTCTGTGATTTTTAATTCCCTTTTACTTTTGAATAGTGAATGACACTGTTCAGAAACCAACTGCAAAGTGCATTCTTAGGTGTTTTGTAAGTTGTAGCTCTAGACTTTAAGAGATGAACTTATAGACCCAAAGGATCGCATACTCTGAGGGATGCCACAGAATATGAGGCATAAGCTGGGAAGGTTGGAGAGATGTAACTCCAGTGTCTAGGCCTTGCCTGGGCATTTGAACCCAGGTACCACTCCTGCCTTTCCACAGCTGAAAGAGGTCTGCCTGTGGAGCCCATCCCTTGGGACACATCACCTGTGCTCTGCTGAGACCCAGCTGGGAGAACATGCTTAAGATTCAGTGACTGGTTTCCCTCAGAGCAGTCTGGGGAATTTCCTTTTGTGGCGTGCTTGACCAGCTGAGATATTTGTCTGAGGTATATACATTGAGTATTAAATTTTTAGGCATGGTACAGCAATGCTGTTTCCTGAACCTTGAATGAAAGCAAGATGCGTGTCTTCTGAGGCTATCATAACAGCAAATGTGTTAAAATGAAATAGTCCTGCTTGACATATCAAAGCACCTATGATTCTGATATACATTGAAGGAAAAAAGCTCCCAAGCCAATCTTTGCTAAAAGTCCCATAATTAAAGCAATGGCAGACTGAGAAATATGTTGTTAGAAATAGATTGCAGTTACTTGTTTTATTTATTCCATTTTCTACTTAAAAAAGAATCATAGCTATATGAATGCTCAGGTGCAGGAAAACATTGTGAGATACTAGCTTTTCAGATAGGTGGAGCCTGTAATACTTTTTGTGGAAGACTGTGTTTTTGTCAACTTACATGGATGTGTGTACAGTGCCTACTACTACCCTGGTATGCAATCCAGGACTGTAGTGCTGGATGGAGTGGAAGATGAAAGACCAGGGCCTGGAGACATAGTTCCTTAAAATCTTCAGCCTCTGGAGTTTTCAGTGTTAAGAGCCCAAACACTTTGTATGAATGCACATAGTTCCTTAGAAATGAGATCTGTGTTTTTATATGCTTGTATGTATGTGCATCCATATGTAGTTATGTTTGTGTAAAATAGTGTTTTCATCCTCTCAGCTACATGCAGAAAGCGTATTTGAGTGTATAGGGAAGTGAAGTGTTTGAGTCACAATGACTGATGTAGTTCTGTAATATTATTTAACTGTTAAATTGCTGATGGATATTGAAATGAGTTGCATGTGTCACACATACACATGTTTGTGCATATATGTAAATGTAATACAGTCAGAGAAAAAAAAAAAACTTAGCTTTCTCCAGTTAACCTACTTCACATGAGGGGGTGTTGCAGCTAGGGGATTCTGAATAAGGTACATGTTTGATGTCATATAATGTGTTTGTTCCCCACCTGGTTGTGTACGGCATGTTGCAGTAGTAGCCTGTATACCTGCTGGCATAAGGTTTGTGATGATGATTGGGTTTCTCAAGAGAAAGTCAGAAACTGTCCCGCTAGAAAGCCCCATCCTATGCACAAGGAGGGGCTTTCCATGCGCTAAGCTGTTTTATTGTTTCTGGGAAATAAGGCAGTCTCAATGCTGGAGGATGAGCTGGGTTTGTGGGATCATCGCCAGAAGCAGCTTAGGGCTTGGAAATAAAATCTGAGAGTGTGGCGTGATTTCTAAAGTCCATGCAGAAGACAAGTCATTACTGAGATTTGCTGATACTTTCTGCACCACTTGTTTTTGCATTTCTTTTCTGGTGTGAGTGTTTTAATTCTAAATAAATCACAGTGATTTACCGTTGACAGGAGATGTCATGATGAAGTCGGGCAGATAAATGTCCTCTGGCAAATTGCAGAAAGCTGCATGTTTCTCACAGATACTGTGGATAGGATTAATTTAATCTAACTTTGGATGTTTATAGCACAGTATCCGAGATGATGCTTAATAAGGTAAGTAATTTTAGACTGTGATTCATCTGACAGTTAAAATGTACTTTAGGATGACATGGATCATGTCCTTTGTTGACCATAAAGGAAGCCTAGCTGAGTAAGTCAGTGGTAGATAATCTGCAGTGCTCAGTGAACTTTTTTCTTTACATCTGGTGTCGCAGTGCTGTTCAGAGAACCCCTGAGTTTTGGAGAGTCGTGAAAATTTGCATTCAGTCATCTATGATCAGAGCAGAGGTGGTGCCACACATTTCCTTGCAGTCAGTTTGTTTTTCCTTTTGCTCTCATGAAGCTGAGATTTGGCTTCAGTCATCAGTGACTGTCTTGGGAGGAACATAATGTAATATAATGGAAGTTATATTTTTTTAACTGTTACTGTGAATCGTATATCTATGGTAAAACCTGCATGTGTACTCTTGTCTGAAAAGTGTAGTCTGTGCCATACAAGCTCTAACACAAGAATTCATGAAAATATAGTTGTTTTTTGGGTGGATGACAGAGGATCCTGATGTTTCTGATTTTTAATCCTTTTGTGAAGATGTTTCAAATTTCACTGAAGCTGAAGTGAACCTGTTTACTTCTTACCTTTATTTGGAAAAACCTTCCTATATAGAAGAGGTGGGGAAAGGAATGTATGAGACTGATACAGATGTGCAGCATACAGGGTTTAGCATAGCCTGGCCATGTGTGTAGTGGGCATGGTCTGGATGTTGGGTTTGGAGCTCTGTACACATGAGGAGAAGCAGAAGACAACAAAGAAGCTATCAAGGAGACACTAGACAAGAATGCCAGTAGTGCTCCAGGGTGGTGTGCGGCAGGAGCGTGCTTGCACTAGGGATGCTGTCCTGCTGTTTGAGTCTCACTGGTGAAAATCTCTAAGTTTCCTAATCTCATTCCAAGAGAAACCATTTAGATTGCAAGTGTAATGTGCAAACTCATCTGTGAGTAGTGCATATCCTGCTGTTTTATAGACTTTCCTGTTCTCTGGATGAAGAAGTAATTTCTTTTTCGTGTGATGTAAACCTTCACCCAATGAACATGTGTGCAGTTTTAAGCATGTAGTTCATTTTAATGACTTCAGCTAACTATAGCTTAATAAATTTTCCAGTGAAGGGCCATGAAGGGATTGGAGCATCTCTCTAATGAGCAAAGTCTGAGAAAGCTGTTCAGCCAGGATGACAAAAGGCGCAGGGGGATCTCATTAATGTATAGGAATACCTCAAGGGAGGGTGCAAAGAGGACAGAGCCAGGCTCTTTTCAGTGGTGCCCAGTGACAGGACCAGAGGCAGGGAGCACAAACTGAAACACAGGAGGTTCCCTCTGAAGACCAGGAATCATCTTTTCACTAGGAGGGTGAGCAAGCACTGGCACAGGTTGCCCAGGGAGGCTGTGAAATGTCCATCCTTGGAGATATTCAAAAGCCATCTGGGAATGGTCCTGGGCATCTCTAGGTGGCCCTCCTTGAGCAGTGGGGTTGGACCAGATGAACTCCAGAGATCCCTGCCAATCTCAGCCACACTGTGATTCTATGAGTTTGGTAGAACTGGCTGGTTGTCCCACACAAACTGTTGCCAGCCTTCTCAGGAATTCTCACAAGGTTGTATGGAGCTCCTGTCAAGGGTACTACATGCCTGCTCAATAGCAGGCCCCCAGAAAACACTGAAAATGTGGCTGGATGCTTAGGAAATATTACCCCAGTGACACTTTTGTGTTACAGTGTTGGGTCAGATGGTGAAGTCAGTTAAAACTGCCTTTGATATACACAGTCAGGGCACCTGATTCATAAGTTTGTAACAGCCCTACTTACACTAATTATCAGTGAACCAGAGCAGATATGTTTTATCTATTACACTTACTGCAACAGGAATAGCACAGTACCCACTGACATCAGCGTTTTACACGAAGAATTAATTGTGCAGTTAAGCTGTTGTTTTAAAATGTGTTTCCTCTTGCTGGTGGAAGTCTTCATCTGTGTAATACAGAAATTCTGCTACTAGACAGACCTAGAGATTCAGAAGGTGTTTTGTAGTGTGGTAGTTGCGGTGTTTTCAGATGATACTGATAATTATGCAGTTTTCTGGACCCATTCAACAGAGTGCCCAACACTCTGAAGCAGTAATGTCAACTTTCTCCAGTGCAGCCCCTTCAGGTATAGCAACTGGATGAGAAATTAAGATATCTGCAGAAAGCTTCTGAACTGATTTATGATCCTCTTTGAGGAAAATATATTTAGCCCACAGAGACTGATTTTTTTCACAACTCACAAATAGATTTATGAAGCAAGTAGTACTTGCATATCCTTTGCCATTTGTTCTGTATATACCGTCCTTCATGAGTGTTGTACATGAAGGGGCCAAACCCTGAAGATATTCGGCATTCATTTTACTGCCTGCTAACACAGACATTAAAGTCAGGGGCACTGTATATGGTGATAGTCAGGATGACATCTACTTGAAGAGAAAATTCTCTATTCCCCCGCAACACAAATAC